TTCTTTGCTCATAGACACGTCTGTCTGCCTCGGTGGTTCTGCGGCGGCTGGGGTCGAGCCGTAGCGGTTCCTGGATGTGTGACTGATGAGGGTGTCTGCTGCCCAGGCCTTCAGGCACTCGTTCCCGGTGGCTGCTTCGTTCTACTTCCCTTTGTTCCAGCTCACGCTGGCGGTAGCGGCTTCTCTCTTCCCGGAGTGATTCAGGTCTGCGTGGCTGGTTGTCACGTCCTCTATCTGCCTCTCGTGGCCTCTGGTTGCTTTGATCACGCTCTGCTCCTGCAGCCTCCTCTGGCCGACGGCGACTCCACCGGTTCGGCAGTGCCTCGGCTTCCCAGCGAACCCTCACGTCTGCCACTTGCTCCTGCTCAGACCTCTCCTGGTCCTCCCTCTCTCGTGCTTGGCCTCTGCCACGCCTGGTGAGTTCTACCTCCTCTTCTCCGTCTGCCTCCAGTGCCTGACGTCTTCTCTGGCTGCTCCGTTGCTCGGAAGGCTCTTGGCGTCGTTCCCCGTAGCCCTGAGGGATCTGCTCACTGCGTCTCTTGGCATCCGTTCTGCTCCCTTGGTTTCGTTGCTGCTCATCCCTCACAGTTTCCTCCAGCCTTTCCAGCTCGCTGAGCCTGGACTCTCGTTGTTCACGTGGAGGGGGATGATTCCTTTCACAGGGTTCTTGTTCCTCCTCCCGGAGCTGCCGGCGGCTCCCTCTGCTCTTCGTTTCTGGCTCTGGGAGTGACTTGCCACCGGTCGTGAGCTTGGTTCTCTGCAGCAGGTATGGTGCCTGCGGCAGGTACCAGTAACAGGCCTTGGCCACCCTGAACACCAGCAGGAGGAACTCGTTGAAATCTATCTCCCCATCCCCGTCCCACTCCAGGAACTGCAGGATCTTGTCGATGGTCTGAGGGTCGTGTGGCTTCTGCAGGGAAAACACACACAGGGAAACAGAAAAGGGAGTTTAGTCTTCCTGCTCCTTGTCAGAGGAATGCAGAGATGGGAACAATCACCACCTTTTCTCCTTCCTTCTCTCACACCTTTGGCATTAGAGCTCAGCAGCAGAATGTCAGTGGGTTTGTTCCCCATTGTCCTGGTTGTTCCCTGACTGGAGATAACCTGCTCTTTTCTCTTTGGTATGTGCTATTTCCTTCTACTGGATGCATTTCCTTCCTACCTGGGAAAGAAAACCACACCTCCCCACAGGTCATCCTCCAGCTTCTGCCTGTTTGACCATGGCAAAAGGGATTGGAAGAGCTGTTGAAACAGTCCCAGAATCACTGAGGTTGGAAAAGACCTTCAAGATCATCAAGTCCAACCTCGTCAACTCGACCTGAGTCCCCCCCAGCTCCCTCAGCCTCTCCTTGCGACAGACTCTCCAGCCCCTTCCCCAACAGAAACACAACTGCTGCTCCCTTTTGGCCTCCCCATCCCAAGTCCATGAGACCCATCTCCTCTCCACGAGCAGATTTTGCAGTCCCCACACTCCACTCTTGGCCTCAGTCCCTCTCCCTTGCAGCCACACTCACAGCAAGGACATCTGCAAACTCCTTCTGGATGAACTCCTTCATCTTCCTCCGGCTCAGGGTGGAGCTGACCCCATCTTCCTTTGCATGTTGGTGGAAGACAGTGATGATGGTGGAAATGCTGTCTAAGAAGCGAGACATCTTCCTGCAGATTCAAGCAAGCCTGAAAGGAAAGGAGGAGACCAAGGGATAGGAGATTTTTCTTGGCTCTGACCGTGGAAAGAGGATGGGGAACTGCCAGGGTCGGGCTGGGTGCTGCGTGCCCTCCCTGTGCCATGGTGAGCTCTGTGTCACCAGAGCACTGGGAAGAAACTCAAATGCTTTAGGGTTTCAGTGGGATGGGGAGTGTCCTCCACCCTGTCTCCTGACGTGTTTGAGTGACGTTTGCCAGGGGAAGGCAGGATGCCTGAGCCCATGGATGGCAGGGAGGGAGCTGGGGGTGGTGACTCAAGAGGTGCCCCAAGAACCTGTCCCTGTGAGGTGATTATCATGGAATGGTTTGAGTTGGAAGGACTTAAAAGATCATCTCGTCCAACTCCCATGGGCAGGGCCACCCGGAAGGGTCTCTAAGGTCTCTCTGGAGACTTGTCTTCTCCAGGCTGAACATCTCTAGCTCTCCTAGCCTGTCTCCAGAGCAGAGGTGCTGCAGTCCATGGAGCATCTCCATGGCCTCATCTGGACTTGCTCCAACAGCTCCACATCCTTCTGATGTTTCCAGGACACAGAGTTCTATCTCTTCCTGGCACTGAGGTACACCAACCTCTGGGAAGCAGGTTAGAGGATGTCTAACCCAGTGCTGGCATGGCTTGAGACAAGATCTATCTGGGTCAGAGACCTCAAAAGCTATGTCTGGAAACCTCCTGAGCCACCTCCTTCCTTCCTTCCTCCTTGCAGGATCCCCAAGCCTCTTATCAGGCACATCAGTGCTGAGATCTCAGCCAGGGAAGCTGTGCTGTGGCTGCCTTTCCACCTCTGGAACGTGCTCAGAGGCATGTGCACAGCTCTGCCTATGAAATCCTGGAGCTGGGGCTTCCAAATCATGTCTCCAATCCGTTCATTCCAGCTGGGAGCTGATTCCAGACCAAGGGAAGTCACAAACCCTTCCTGGTTCTCCCTTTCCACCCAAAAACACAACAACAGGAGGTGCCCAAAGAGCACAAAACCCTTCACAGGGGAGGAACACAACAGAGTCCAAGAACATATGGCACCAGCACTGATGCTGCCACCCCACAGGGATCCTGGAGGGATAACCCAACCCGGCCCAGCAAAGGGAAGAGTTCAGAAGGAGCAACTCACCCAAGTCACCGACGGGATCGTGTGGGATTCCTGGGACGCCGTGCGGAGTGATCGAGGCCCTGATGCTTTTATAGGGTCCCTGATGGCGCTAGGGAGAGGAGACACCCTTTGTGGACGTTGTCCTGATTCATCTTTGGCCAAGCCCAGCTGCACCTTCACGTCCTCAAACGGGTTATTTGACTTATCATCCCCTTCCCTATCATTTTAACCCAGAAATAGCAGTTGCCATGTGGCAATTCAGGCACTGGCAGGTTCCACCTAATCCAGACTGTAAAGTTCTTTTATGGCTTGGTTGTATTTCAGCTTTTGCAAAGTCTGGAGGAGCCAAACTGCACGTTCTGCCTCAGTGGAGGGTGGATTTTAGGACAGCCTTGTGCCTTCAGAGTGGTGAAATTATGTCTACAACACTCACAGGAAAATACAAACGAACCTGTGAACCTGAGACCGAAAATCTGAGGATGTGGCTCAGAAGTGCTGGTGGCCACAGACCTCATGATCAGCAGATTTGGGGCAGTTGAGATCTTTAGGGCTTTGTACCACGAGACCAGAGATTCTTTGATTTGGTCTTTGTGCATTTCCTTCACCACTCTGAGCCTGAGCTCGGTGGACTTTGGGTCTGGCTTTTGCTTACAGAAGAACCCTGAAATGGTTTGGGTTGGAAGGACCTTAAAGATTATCTCATTCCAACTGCAATGGGCAGGGACATCTCCCACTGGGAGCCCCAAGTGCTACAAGACTGATGAAATGCAGCACTGAGATCCCCAAACCCTCCTGATTTTGGCTCTGCACTTGTAGAGTATTTTATCTTTGGTAACTTCTTATTGAAGAGCTTTTTCTGGTCATATTATCCAGAGTCTTATTGGGAAAAAAAACCCCAACAACCACAGCCAGAACAATGTTAAATGATAAACTTTGCAAAGTGAGATTTCAGGTGAGAAAATGGTCAGGAAGTGATGATTTTCCACTGAGAAACATCATGGTCAAACTTTTCACATTGTCATCCACAAACAACTTTCCTCTCAGCTTTGCTTGATCTTTAACACCAGAAGCAAAAACCTCTGCTGAGAGGCCAATTCACCTTGAATCTTCACCTGGTTGCCCTTAGGCAACTCTGGCTGGAACGACCTCCTCAGGTTAAGCTTTTAACAGGAACCTAAGGAGAAATGATCCCTTTCTTCCCTCTGAACTCTCCCAGGACATGGAGCAAGTGAGGAAGGTGCCAGAGGTGTGACCTGAGCTTTGCTTTTTGGGTTGGAAGTAGGTGATGCCTTGCCAAGGGTGACGGAGACATTGCAGAGAACCTTCAGAGCATGAACTGGCCCCACAGCCTTGGGTGAGTGGCTGAGCTGTGAGCTAAGCTCATCCTGGGTGTAGGAGCCTAATTAATTAGTGCTGGTAACACCTTGGGGACACTCATACGAGTGCTCATGAAGGACAAGTCCTGCCCAGCCTTCATTTTTCAGCATTTTTTTCCAAGCTGAAATTATACTTGTGCAAATGACACCCCACCTGGGGGTAATGATAGCCTTGGGAAACTGTAATTTGAGGCTCAATTGGAGCTATTAGTCAAATGAGAGGGTGACAGGGAGGCTCTAACAGTCTGTAATCCCCCCAGGGCTGGGGCGGCCAGGGAGGGTCAGGCCCTGCCTGAGCAGAGCTCAGGTATGGATGGAGCAAAGGGATGTCATGTTCACAGTGTGTCTAGGGCTTGTAATGGACCTTAGACATCATCTAGTTTCACCCCCACCCCATGCCATGGGCAGGGACATCTCCCACTGAGCCAGGAGGTGTTGGCTATGTGCTCCTGCTTTCCTAGGATTTGCTCCAGGAGAAGGCAATGAACCTTCAAAGCATGTTCTGGTAGCATTGAGACCTCCTGTTTTCCAAGGGGTTGGTTTGCCCATAGATGGGAGTTAGAATCCCAGGATCACTGAGGTTGGGAAAGACCTCCAAGACTGTCAAGTCCAACCTGTGACTGATCTCCACCTTGTAAACTGGCCCAGAGTACTGAGTGCCATGTCCAGTTGTGCCTTGAGCACCTCCAGGGATGGGGACTCTACCACCTCCCTGTCCAGCCTCTTCCCATCCCTGACAGCCCTTTCTGTGAAAAAATTCCTCCTAATGTCCAACTGAACCTCCCCTGGCACAGTTTGAGGCCATTTCTTCTTGTCCTATTGGCAGCTATGGATTCTTAGGTCTGGTGAGTTTAGACCCTAAGACACAGCTAATCTGAAGCAAAGAACCATCAGATAAACCTCTGCCCAAGACCTATTTTACAAGGAAAATGGAGTTTTCTGGAAAATGAAACATTTTGAGGGATGTCTTAGATGGATTTGGGTTTTGGCAGGTGATGATTTCATCCCTGACTCTCCCGTTGAGTGTCCACAGATGATACGAGGTCAGTCAGGACTTACTGCTGAACTTCCTGAGCAGCAGAGCAGTTTGGGGCTGAAACATTGAACTGGGACCTTGGCACTTGGAAACCAAATCGTTCTGGGGCTGTGTGTCCTGGGGATGGTTTGGAAACTTTGGGTTTCCTGATTCAGAGCTTAGCAAATTGTGAAATTTGGGGTGTCTCAGAGGGATGACGCTTTAGTTCCTTCTGAGGGTTCTGTGGGCTCCTTGTCACCCACCACAGAGCACGAGGTGTGGGTGATTTATCATGTGCTGATGCCACTGATAGGTCTCAAGTGAAAGATTGCAATGGGGAAAAACAGGTTGGGCATCACCTTCCACGAGGGATGCCAAGTCCTGGCCCTGCCTGGTGGTCCAGCACATCTGAACCCCTAATAAGCTCCACTGACTTCATCAGAGAGCTCTGCCCCTGGGGTTATCCTCATTCCTATGTGCCTGGCTGGAAAAGTGCCCCAGGACGTGGTGCCCCAAATTACCTGAGCTGAACGGTGTGAGTTCAGCTCCTCTTTGTGTGTCACCTTCTCATCCCTGACCTCCCACTGGGGTGGCTGGACCCAAATCATTGATTTTCCCCTGTTCAATGTATCTCTGCTGCTTCCTTGGAGACTTCCACAGCTAACAGGGAATTTTTTCTCTTCCTAGCATGCTCCATGTGCTCCTTGCTTTGGAGAGTAGTAATAAGTGAGGTTAAGTAGGACAAATCCCTCCTGTTCAGCTCGAAGCAGCTGTTATTCTTCTCACAGCTGACATGGAAACTGCCTGGAGCAGACAGATGCTGAGAGGAATCTGTTCAGGTTGTGTTAGCCCAGACTTCTTCCCCCTCTGGAGGCAGAGAACAAGTCACAGAGTCATGGAGTGGTTGGGTTGGAAGGGACCTTGAAGCCCACCTAGCTCCAACCTCCTGCCATGGGCAGGGACACCTCCCACCAGCCCAGGTTGCTCCAAGCCCTGTCCAACCTGGCCTGGAACACTCCCAGGGATGGAGCAGCCACAACTGCTCTGGGAAATCCATCTCAGTGCCTCAGCACCTCCCAGGGAAGGATTCCTTCTGTATATCCAACCTTAACTGCCTGGTTGGACATCAGGAGGAATTTCTTCAAGGAAAGGGCTGTCAGGCATTGGAAGGGGTTGGACAAGGAGGGGGTGGAGTCACCATCCCTGAAGGTGTTCAAGGAACAACTGGACGTAGCACTTGGTGCTCTGGGCTGGTTGATAGAGTGGAGATCAGTTGGTTGGACTTGACCTTGGAGGTCTTTTCCAACCTCAGTGATTCTGGGATGCCTCCAGCTGCATCCTGGGGCAACGTGGCTGTATGTCATGCAGGGGATGAACACTCAGGTCCTCTATACCACAGCATGTGAGGCTGGAGCTGCTCAGAGCCAGGGCAAGGAGATGTTTGCAGCAACACACCAGGACACTTCGATTTTGCCTTCAGTTTATTGCTTTGCTTACAGAGTCAGAGGCAGAAGCAGTGGGAGAGGGAAAGTCTCTACTCATGCACAGCTCAGCGCAAACAAGGCGGAGAAGCTCAAGGTTAACAAGGAATTGGACAAGACATGAGACACAGAAATGGAAAAACCAGAGTGGGATGGGACAAAATGTACCTCCTGGCAGGGGCAGACAGCCTGGCTTAGCCAGGGGTTTGCTCCAGCCTTCACTGCTGTGGTGGCCACTGGTACTGAGGCTGCAGGAGCTGCTGCTCCACAGCAGGTTGACGCTGGGGACGAGTGTCTTGTTGTGCCTTGTTGTGCTCCATCTCCAGCACCTTGGAGTCAGGGAGTGGATGGCAAACTGGGTCATGGTGTGTTCTCTGGGGTTCAGGATCCTGATGGGGACTTGCACCCCACTGGGAGGGCAGCAGCTGCTGGGTCTGGTCAGGACTGAGGTCCTTCCAAGGGGCCTCGTAGACTTGGGTGTTTTTGGGCTCTTTTCCTTGTGTCTCAGAGGGAGAATTCAGGTCCTGCTCTTCTGACTCTTGCTCTGGGCTCTGATAGTGATTTGAACCCTGTCCTGGTGCCTCAGAGTCTTGGGCCTGGTGGGGTTTTGGGTCCTGTTTTGTCGTCTCTTCAGTCTCTTCAGCCTTAGAGGTATTTCTATCTTGCTCTGAGGTTGCAGCATCCAGAATCTCACCTTCCTCTGGATCCTCTTCTACTGCTTCAGTCCCATCATCCTGATGGGTCTCCTGCTCTGGTGTCTCACCCTCCTGGGTTTGATGGGTCTCCTGGTCCTGATCTGGTGTCTCACCCTCCTGGATCTGATGGTTATCCGAGTCCTGTGTCTCAGTGTCCTGGTCCTGGTTGTTCTCACCATGCTCAGGGACCTGCTGGTTGTGGGAGACCCTCCCCACTGCCTGTGACCTTGGCAGCTGCTCCTCACCTGCTGTCAGCACTTGACCCTCACCTGGGCCCTGGTGCTGTTGGAGAGGTTTGTAACAAGCCTTGGCCACGCAGAAAACCAAACTGAGCAGCTCACTGAAGTCAACCCTGGAGGTGCTGTCATCACCCAGGAAGCACAGAACCTTCTGGATGGTTTGGGGGTCCTGGGGGTTCTGCAAAGAGACAAATGGTGTGGGCTTGGACACCTCCTGTGCCTCCCCCAGGGATTCAGGTGTCCTGGACACCCACGGTGGGTGGTTTCACCCTCCCCAGCTGTGGGGCCCAGTCCTTACCTCCATGGCATCCACAAACTCACGTTCCATGAGCTGCCTCAGCTCCTCCCTGCTCAGGGGGCTGCAGCCACCGTCGCTTTGGCAGCTCAGGTAGAAAGCAGCAATGAGGCCATCGATGTTCTCCTGGAGTTGGGACATCTCCCTGCAAAACTGAGGCAGCCTGAGAGAAAAACAGAGATTAAAAGGGGATTTTTGGGGGTTTTTCTCATGGTTTTCAGGTAAGTTACTCTCAAATGAGTCAGTTGGAGAGGCAAAGAGAGAACGAAGAGTCAGGAAAGGGCAGAGATAAGTTGAAACCGGATAAGGGAATGAAGGAGAAAGAAGAATTTCACAGGAAGAAAACCCTGAAATATTGGACTTGGCAGCAGAGATGGTTGGAGAAGTGAAGGACAGCGAGAGCCAAAGGGCTGAGGACACAGTAGGAGAGGAGAGACAGAAGTCCCATTGGATTTCCTCTGGAGCAGAGCAGAGCTGTGTGTGGAGGTATCCCCAACAAACCATGGAACAGAGGAACCCCAGATCTCCTTCATTATTTTTGGTCCTTTGGGAGAGCTCAGCAGTGGCAGCTCCAGGGGCATCCCATGCCCAGCAGCTCCTGCTTTCCTGTGGTGGCAAAGTCTGTGTGAGAGATCCATCCAGGCTTACCTGGGCGAGGAGCAGAGTGCTGAGCTTCAGGAGCTCTTCTGAGGCAGCTCAGCTCTTGACCATCTTATATAGAGATGAGGATCAGAGCGTGGAACTTGCAGAGGAGACACCTGAGCCCTCTCTCACCCAATTACAGTGTCATGGTCTGTCTTCCTTTGCCTCTTTCTCATTAACATCAGCTCTGATGAGTTTCTCTGGAGGAAATTCAAGATCCCTCCAAGCTGCCACACCTGCACACACACTGCAGAGGAATCCAGCAGAAAAGGTTATTTTTACCACTGAAGGATTTAGGTTGAGGTGATGCCTGAGCAACGCCCTGAGCTCGTGTTTGCAAACGTGTCTTGTGAGAAGGAGATCCCCAGTGAGTGACATGTGGGGAGGACACAGCCCACGAGGTCTGCATGGGGTACAGAGAGGAAAGAAAAGGAAGGAAGGAAAAGGAGGATATTGGGATGGATATTGTCTGTTGTCTAAGACAGTCATTGAGGTGCTGGAGGTGTCCAGAGAAGGGAATGGAGCTGGGAAGGACCTGAAGCAGGAGGAGAAAGCTCTGGAGAACTCCTGAGAGAGTTTTGGGGACTCAACCTGGAGAAAAGGAGGCTCAGGGGGAACTTCTGCTCTCTCCAACTCCCTGGCAGGAGGTGGAGTCAGGTGGGATCAGGCTCTTCTCCCAGGGATGGGACAAGTGGAAACAGCCTCAAGTTGTGCCAGGGGAGGTTCAGGTTGGACATCAGGAGGAATTTCTCCATGGAAAGGGCTGTCAGGCATCGGAATGTGCTGCCTAGTGAGGTAGTGGAGTCCCCATCCCTGGAGATGTCCAAGGCCCAACTGGACGTGGCACTCGGTGATCTGCTCTGGTTGACAAGGTGGTGATGGCTCACAGGGTCTTGGAGCTCTTGTCCAACCTCAGTAATCCCATGATTTTGGGATTCTCCTGGACCCCAACCGGGAGCTGAGCATCGAGCACGAACTCCGTTCCCACAGTGCCACCAAGTGGCTCTGGCTCAGGGCAGAGCTGCGTGGGCTGTCCTGGAACCCAAGTGCACTGGGCCCAGTGGCCTAACTGGGAACTCCATAACCTCCTCCCACTGTCCCTTCCCCACCCCAAACTTCATCCTTCCCTCCCCATCTCTGCCCTTTCCACCCCGGAGCAATATTCCTACCCTTCCCCAGGGCTGCAGCGCGTTCTGCAGGGAGTTTTATCCTTCCATCTCGGTCATTATCAGGAATTAAGCTAATTGGAGTAAAATCCCTTTTTTCCCCCTCTGCTGCTGAGGCATTTCAGGTTCTTTCTGGCGCAGCTTCCTTTGTTGCTAATTCACCCTGACGTTAAGAAGTGCAAGACATCAGCTTTGCCCGACTGCAGGTTTGCACTTTTTCACATGCTAATGAGCATATTTAACATACTCCTCGGGAGATAATTGGATTCTGAGGCTCCCTGTGGCAACGCAGCCACAAATGCCTCTAATATCTCCAAGTCTCTTTCTGTAGTTGAATAATCCCCCAATTCAAATGAGGAATTAATATCTGGGCTTGAGACAAGATTTGGGAGGAAACTTTGCGTGTTTTGCTACATGTGTTGACTATCCTGATGGAGAAGTTAATGAAACCTTTTCTCTGCCTTCAGATCCTGAACTGACAAAGGGGCACGAGATGATCTCATTCCCCTCACACTGGTCCTGCTGGGAAGAGCAGGACTTCCCTTGGTTCCTTTAGCTCCTAACAGATTCAGCTGAAAGTTTTAATCCAAATCCTGGAAGTTATCAGAGAGGAAATTAATTTGTCTGAAGGTGCAAAGGAACTCTCAAGTTTACTTAAACAGCTTTAGGTCTGAGAAAGGAAAGGAAACTCAGGAAAGGATGTTCAGGAGGAATTTCCCCATGGAAGGGATTGTCAAACACTGGAACTGCCCAGGGAGGTGGTGGAGTCACCAGTCCTGGAGGTGCTCAAGGACCAGCTGGACATGGCACAGTTGACAAGGTGGAGATGGGTCATGGGTTGGACTTGATGGTCTTGGAGGCCTTTTCCAACCTCAGTGACTCTGGAATTCCATGAAACAATAACATGATAGGACTGATGAACATGACAGAATTAATCATGCAGCTTCTACTGGTTATCTCCAGCCTGGAGGACTGCAAGTTCCTCTGTATGTCCTGAGGCCTTTCACCTTCTCCAGGCTCCAGCAGGAAACATCCTCCCACGTTCCCGTGCTGTGCAGCAGAGGACGCTGCCTGTGCTCTCACACTACCATACGTGGCTGGTGCATGCACAGACACATCAGTGTCTTTGGTGTGGATGACTGGGACACCATCACCCACACCCAGAGCTCTCTCTGACCCGCTCCCCGAGCCAACTACAGTGTTCAGCTGTGGAAAATCAGACTCTGGGCAGAGCTGTGGCCATCAAGCAGCTCCTGGTGGTGGTGCTCAGAGGCTGGGCAGGTGGCATAGCCCAGCTGAGTGCACTCCTCTGGTTTCCTTGCCCTGATGGATCATCCTGAGCTGGGAATCTTCACTCCTGCCACACACAGGGTGGGGATGGAGGTGGTGGCAGTCCTCTCTGTGCACTCATGGAGCTCAGGACCTTCTCCCAGCGCTGTTGGCAGAGGATATGGGCTGGGGCTGGACAGGGCAGTTGGCTCAGCTCTGGTGCCTTTAGCTTGTTCACTCCAAACCTGAGGGTTTGCAGGACACCTTAGTCACCTCCTGTGGCCATGGTGGAAGTGATTCATGGGCTGTGCTCATTTCAGCTGCTCCCCTTGGTGCTGGGGACACCTCCAGCACCTCTGCCTGTTAGCTTCCCAACAGCAGGAGACTTCCAGGTCCTTTGGCCAGCACATTTCTGGAAGAACCTGCAGTTTTGGGCAACGGCTTCAAGCCTCAGGTCTCTGATTGGGTAGGAAACTGCTTTCTGCTGCCCTGGCCACTGAGGAGTGACCTCAGGAGCATCGAGGTGGGGAGGAAATGAGCAAGAGGTGCTGCCACAGCTGGGAGGTTGTCTGGAGCAGAGGTGGAAGGGGCAGAGAGGACATGTTGGGAAACATGACCTGATGGGAACCCGGCCCAGGCCAGGCTGGCAGCCTGCTAGGCTGGCTGGGGAGGAAGGAGATGCTGTGCCAGGCAGCCAAGGAGCAGAGTGGGTGCTCTGGGGCAAGACAGAGCTTGCCTGGCAGCGATGAGTATCTGCAGCTCTCAGCAAGGTCTGGAAGTTGCTCCCACAAGACTCATGGGGTGGATCAGGGTGAAATCCTGGTGCACCTTCTGCTCTGTGCTGCCTGTAGAAATGCAACTCTCTGCTCACTCCTTTCATTTTCCCAGGGAGATGCACAGACAGGGAAATCTTTGCTTGGATTATTCAGTGAGTTTCATCTTCTTTGGCCTGGATTCCCCAAGAAGTAAATCTTCACTGCTGCTTTTTGCATCCTGCCCTTGCATTTGCAAACAGCTTTGGCACAGTGGCTCAGACAACTAGAAGTGTTAAAGAGATGTCTGGAACTGGTGCTGGAGGATATGAGTTAGAGTTTAGAGGCTACAGCAGTGACAGGTTAAGGGTTGGACTTGGTGATCTTAGGGATCTCCTCCAGCCCTGAGGACTCTATGAACTGCTAAATCTGTCTCTAGTTGTTTCATGCAGATCAGTAGAGACTTGGTTACTGCTGTAGCAGAAGTTTCTGAGCACTTGTCCCTTTGCTGGGACACAAGGCAGAGGGAGGAATCCAGGCCCTACCAGTTCTGCCTGTGGTCTGCCTTGCTCAGCAGCAACACGTCTGGTGGTTTATGCTGGGAGGGCGAGCACAGAGGGAGGTGTTTTGGGCTCTGACAGGTTTCCAGCCATTGTACCTTTGGGCTGGAATTTAGGGCTGGAAACGGAGCCAAATGCAGCTCATGGGCCAAAGTCACCTCAGGTTAGCTGTGCCTTCAGTAGTGGGAGAAGCTTGTTTTAACTGGACTTCTCAGTCTCCTCCCAGAGCCTGGAAGACCCTTTGGAGCTGGTGACTCAGGCCAGGAGAACGTGGGCTCCAGACTGCCATGGCAGATGTGCAGAGCTCACCTGCTCTGAGGGATTGTCTTCCCAAAGTGAGTCACCACTAAAGGAGCTGTACCAGCCTTGGGGAGCTGCTGATGGTCCTTCTCCTCCAAACCAGCTGAGATGTCCATGCACAAACTCTCAGCCCTGTTAGAAATGATGTCCTTAACTTCTCTTTGCAAAGCAAGTTTGGCCCAAGTCAGTTTGGAGGACACTTTGTCCTTTCCTTCCTCTCTGCAGCAAAGAGGTAAATGACTAGCTGATATGTCAGGAAACCCCTCTTTCCCAGCTGTACCAATTACACTCCACCCTCCTGATGAGGTGTCACAAGGATTAATGACAGATGAGTGAGGAGAGGAGATGCTGGTGAGGGGAATGTGAGAACTGCCAAAGGAATGAAGAGCTGGGGGAAGGCAACCAACTCAACTGGGAGGTCTGAGATGTGAATGCAGCACATCCCCAGCTGG